CCCATGTTAGCTGTATGGCCCATTTGTACGAAATTAGCTAAAATGGGTCTGTTTTAACAATACTTCTACTTAGTCAAACTGGGAGGTGCTTGTAAGCATAAAAACACAAGTTCCTAGAACACCTACCAACATAACTTGCTTCTCAAGAGCAGCTGAAATGATAGACACAAAAAGAGGTGACTAATTTAGGTAATTTATCTTTCAATCTCGGAGTGACCATCGGACTTGTGGAAAACGTTAATTGCCCGCATTAAAGGTTATTTGGATTGATCTGTGAAATATTTGAACTATCATTTTGCTTTGTGTATTTTGGGACTACCGAGAAAGCAGTATCTGATTTAAGAATGGGGTACTAGGTAACGATGATAAATCGATCAATGAGAAGGTAAATCTTTACCAACTGAGTTGGTTGGGACATATGGTACGTATTTCCAACTAGGGCCTACCTCGACAGGCGATACTGTCTGGTGCAGCAGTAGATTTGAACAAGGCTAGGACGACCAAACCACGACATAGCATCAGTCTATGAAGTCACCGACATTTGGAATGAGTTATGTAGGTAGGTATAGACCATCTGACTAGGGTTCGCGTCATTAACATAATCAATGGTTCCTTTAGTACCTCAGTCCTGAAATCTCTTTTTTTGCTCCTTATACCTTTCTATATTCAAGTTTTCATATTACTACTGATGCTACACGTTCTTCTACTAAATTGGGATCTGTCATGATAGAATCGAGGGGTTACATTTTAGATCACTGATTTGTCATTTGAAGATGGTTGCATACTATAGTAAGCTGATTAGAGTTAGAAGTGTAAACTTAAAGGTCTTGGGTTTAAGCCCTGTTGGGGTTGTGGGTGTGCACCAATGAAGAGTCTCATATCAGGTCAAAGCAGTTATCTAGTACCTCCTGGTATCCAATTGTCATTCAACTAAGATCATTCTGTGATAAAAATTATCAATGACAATAATCTACCCAAACTTATTATATTAACAATAGATAGCTTCTTAGGCGACAGCGTAGCTGTTTGCTTAACTTTGTTGATAAATGAATAGTCCGATATTGAAAATCAATTAGGACAAACGAGGAATTCTTATAGTATATATAGACAGTAAATAAGTCGGGATTTTATTGATGTCATGAACCGATCAATACTAGATTGCTGTTGAGAGTCTGGAAACACTGGTCAGCAGTTTCTCCCTAGTATAGGACTCCTCAGCAGTGTGCATTCACGACCCATAACGCACTGCCTAGCAGTCCCATACTAGGAGGAAACATCTGTCTTTTGCCTCCAGGTTTTCAATGGTATTTTAATATTGATAGGTTCATGATCTCAATGGATTTCAACAATCTCGACAACCTTATAGTGATATCAGGATATAAAAGTGGTTATAATAATTGGTATTCATACTTTATAACGCGATGAAGTGTGAATAGATTCTTACGATTGATCGATTTTCTCAAAGACTCATTTTAAAAATTAATACTTTTATATTAATGCTCAGGTCATCCTGAGGTCTTCGCTAATTTATGCTTTGAATAACCATTTCATTTTAAGATTCAATTTTTTCATAACCAACATAGAGCCTAGTAAAGTATGCATTGAACTCAGTTTTCATAACACAGTAGCAAGACTAGATAAAATCGTTAAACGAATAGTTAAAGAATCCAAATAATGTGGTTCTAAGAAACACTTTCCTCCAAAAGCAATGAAAACCTAATCCTCAAACTGTCGAATACTGAGTCTTAGCTTAGCCAAAGTAAGAACAAGAAAGCTATTTGACTTGATAAACTTCATCCGTTTCTATAACGTTAATGAACACCGTTAGTATGCAAAAAAAACAATTAATACAATCTACTAAACCGAGAAAAGAATGACATAAATAACATAACTGACAGTAACTAGAGGATAGCAAACATGAGTCAACAAAACTTAATATCGATTTTAATTCATATATTAGATGTTTGGATCTTCGCATCGATGTTTAGGACTCCAATTGATCAGTCTCTTCTTGAATATGGGAATACTGTGCGGATTGCCTCGATATTTTCAGAAATTCGCAAGTATTTTAAGCAAACACGAATGGTGACTGGCAGTGGAATCCAAGACTCAAGATTCATGCAATTAGGAAGCCGTCAGCTGGATTCACCTGCATTCGAGTTAATGTTTACTTTAGAACTTGAGCCCAGTATCTTCACGGGATGTACATATGCCAAAAGAGACTGATCAATTGTAGTCCTAAACATCAATAGGAAGATCAAAACAAGCAATAGTTATGAACTAAAGTTAAAATTCCCTTGATTGAACATGCTAGCGGTTAGCTGGACTCAGTAGCTAAGTGGATAACGTGATAGCTTTTGAAGCAAACGGTACTACGCTTGAGTTCTGGAGTGAACATCAGCTCCGGGATACAGGTACATTCATCTGGCGAGTCCCAAATTGCACAAAATGCGCGTCCTGGATCCCATTGTTAGCTACTATCCATCTGCTTAAAACAATATCGTTTATGAAAAAACATGAAGGATTCTAAATGAAAAAGGCATGGTCATACATGATCAAAGTGAGTTAAGGTGGTGGTGAGCGTTTAATGCTGTAATTTGTGGGTTCGTTTATCGAAAATAGAATGCGATTCGAATAGACAGAATGAAAAGGTGTGTTCAAAGGAGTACCAGAACTCGATATCTACAGAAACTAAGGGGTAAATACATCTACGTCATTGTGAATAATTCTTAGCCATATCACCCAAAGTCTCCAGAAATGAATAGCGGTTATCCCTCGAATCCCAGTCAGGTAGTTTGCATCTTTCAACATAACTCAATGACTCAATGAATTGATCCCATGTCTTGGAATAACTGTGCTTAAGTTCCGACTTATTTCTAAAGCAGACAATATCACCCTTTGAAGTAAGTGATGGTTAGATTTGATTTGACTGTATATCAACAAATTAGACAATAAAAGGTGTTTCTTAATGGAAATTTTTAATTGGTTGGAAGAGAAATTACCTGTTTGAGAAGCCATGTTTTCTGCTAATCACAGCAATATTTCGGATTAATCTTAATTATTGAAAGATGGTATATTTATGGTTTTCGAAACTTCAACAGTTCGAAACCTGTAATATCTTGACATACAGAGGAATAAAAATCAACTGGTATAATTACACTGTATTTGCAAAATGCAATTAGTTTTTAAAATATTCCTTCTAGTTCATTCCGGCGTCACTTCTAATATTTAAACATTACCATTCTTGTATTACGGTTATGGATCTCTGCATCTCACCTATGTGATATATTTTATCCAAAATATTTAGTAGGATAATAGAGTGTTGGAGTTAAGTTTTACTATGACAAATCTTCTAAGTCGAAACACCTTGTTTTTAGACCTTTAATATTAACGAATAGATATATGAGAAGCTGTATACCTAATACAAATTGGTGTGGAAAATAGAAAGACTATGTTTCTATTTTACTTCAACATGAATAGAATACTCTCTTCCAACCAGGATGATCAACATGATCACTTAGGGAGATTTACTGATGCTCTGTTCCCAATTTCAAAACGGGTTTCGAGAAAACATTGACCTGGCACTTTCTGAACGTGATCTTCTTAATGATACAGTGTAATTTGAGTCGAAGTTACGTGCAATCAAACCATTTTGTCTTTTAATTGAATCAGTGTTAAAGTGTTTTCAACTGCAGCTTCACTGAAACACTCACAGTCACTAATCATTTTGACATAATGGAATTATAAAGACGTTTGAAGCACTAAACGGCCCTTTTATTCTAGTGTGCGGCTACTCAGAACTGACTACCCATGATCTTGCATACGGGAATCAATGCCAAGACTCTCAGTGTCTTGCACGATTGTTTAAAATCTGGACTAATGAGCTGAAACCTAATGATGGACATGTTTAACTTCAATCTATTCACGATACTGCCCAACCTCACCTACTCGAAGTATATTACTGTCTCATACACAACAACTGAATTCCACTGATCACGGTTTCTCGCTAAAACACCAGGAATTACATCTTGAAGCTAGTCACTAGCGAGCACATGATTTTTATTAGCATAGGGGATTGTAGAATTTTCATAGTTTGAATCATGTTCATTTCATAGTTCAAATTATCAGAATACTACGAAGTTCACTAATTCTGCTGTACTAAAATTTTGATGTGAAGAGATACAGACTAATAATCTCTATTACCAATATTCTGTCCATAAATTGAGCTTAATTATTATAAATGATATATATGTTTTAGAAAAGCTCATTTATTATAAGAAAAGATTAAGTATCTAATACTACTTATATACTTATCCTGTCTTTAATTTTTCGAAACATACTTATGAGTAATGGTCATATTGGTGCATATAATAAGAAATATCAGATAACATATACAGATATCATATTTACACAATCATGATTATAAGAACTCCACCTGTAGCTCTTCTAGAGTTACTGCCGGTCCCAAGCCCAGATAAACGAGGAGGGTTGAGCATAGGGTTAGCGACCCCATCCCGTAGAAAACTAACTCGCTAAAAAAACACTAACCAGAAAAACACTAAGAAAGATTTTTTATAATAATAACATTTTGATCATGGTTTTACGACATTAGATTTATTGAATGTCATGCCTTAAAAAAAATTAAAATTAGACAATTTACACACACGCACACACACACACTTATTTATGTAAATTTATTCACCTATTTATGTTATGAATGCACAATAATGAGGTTGATTCAAATAAAAAAGTAGTACAGATTTGAATACTAAACACCTTTTCAGTTGGTGCTATGACAACTAATGTGTGTGCGTTTTTTTTTCTTTTTCATTTGAGCAAATCAATCAACCTACAGATTTTCATCTGATTGACTTAGAATTAAAGAAAATTATTCGGATTTTTTTTTTTTTAGTGACTTGTAAGTAAACATTTCTGCATTGATAACATATGACAGCATCTTCAAAAGTGTTTTTTAGATAGCGGGAAAAAGTATTTTTGTATTACTTTCTATGAATAAAATGTAATACAGAGTTGGGAAAGGTTTCTTTAATATAATTTATGCATTTTTTAAGCATCTTTTCATTTACAGCATAAACATGACATTCATATTTAATTTTAGACAGAATAACTCTATCATTTTTTACATGTTTAGATAGTGTAAATGGTCCATGTAGTTTGATTATACAATTATTTTTTGTAGCAATGGCTTTTATCCTTCTATCAGTAGTAGTTAAATAACTTTTTACTAAATCATCATATGGACTTAATTCAAAAATCTCTTTGAAATCATTATTATAATGTTCATTATTATTAATTGTGAAAGAATCCGCATTCATGTATGTCAAACAGTTTGATCTAATTTTAGAAGTGAGAATTTCTGCTGTCTTGTTTAGGTGATTTTCTGAAATGGAAGATGATTTTCTTTGATTATCCGTCGTTAAATTTTCGTTAGACTGTCTATTAATTTGAAATAATAATGAATTTCGATCAATGTTTTCATCTGTTACATGATGATTTGATGAACTGGCCTCTGCTTTCTGTGAATTAACTTCAAATGAGTTAAATTTTGATTGAAGTCTGCTTGATGAAGATAAAGAATTTGAAAGAATATTTAAAGGTTTTCTACATTTTAATCGTTGCTTTGAACTTCCATTATGGATTTTAAGAGTAAATAATCCATATTGTGAACTTGTTTCGATATTTTTGAACTTCTTGTTTGAACTTAAATTTCGTTGAGGATTAAGGCTGTTGAACAGTTGTTCACATTTTTTATTTGATGAAGTCCAACCACTCTGAATTTCAGTTGTATAATATTTGTTTATGCTTTGAAATATTGGAAACTTATCACTGGATTTTTGAACAACAATACTGTGTTTTCTCGGTTGATCATTGCTTTCTGAAGTTATAGAAATTTTTTTCGAGTCAATATGAAACACCGACAGTGTCGAAGATGATAAAGAACATACAGAAGGCGACACGATATTGGAAAATCTAATTTCCTTGCTTTCAGCAGAATCCAAGATCTGACATTTTGGAGAAGTAGGTGAGCGATTAACCTCCAAGGATGGAATCTCTTCACTAAATTTAGACATGTTTCTTCCAGTTGAATAGGCTACCTGTTCTTGTAACCACTTATGTAATATGTAGGATTTTTCATTCTCACTGTCTCTTATGGAAGAATTGACTGTCAGTAAATTTGAGTTCGTTTTGCTCTCGCTAGGGCTAGAAGTACATATTCTGTTACATTCGTCCATCACACCATCATATCGAATTTCTTTCTTTGTATTGGAATATACAACACCCTTTCCGTTGTTAGATCGACATGATTGTTTATCGAAATCCACATTCATTATACTGAAAGAGGATTGTGAACTTTCATCCCATTTCTTAGATGTTAGTTTGTTATTACTTTGATGTTTATCAAAAAAGATTTGCTTTTTGTTTGAATATTGTTCCATACATTTGTGCTCATGTTTGACATCATGATTTGCTTTCATAATATTTGATTTTCTTGATGATACTTTTTCCCAAATTGAAAAGTATGAACAACATTCTGTTGGAAAACTTTGCGAATTTTTTGAATATTTCGGTTTTGTCTGAGGAATATGAGCGTTTACTTGATAAAATGTTTCGCAGTTATTTTTATACCAATAATCGTTATTCAGATTTTCACTTGAGTCTCACTTTTAAAAGTTGTATCAGTTTGTTCTGTCGGGCAGTCGAAATGAAGACAGCTACAAACATATGTCCTATTATCTATATCTGTTGTACCTGAATCATCCAATTTACCTGTTTGATTAACATAAACTATGTTGTCATTCAGATAATTAGACTTCACTTGACTGTAGTCACTTTTGTTAGGAGTTTGTTTGGGAGAAAATGAGAGGTCATTACTTCGTTGTTCATTTAATGGTACGAAAGTTTTTTCTAATGGATGTTTGAATTTCTAAAGAAAGTTAGTGAAGAAAGGAATATAAAACGAGCTGAATTAATTCATGTTTTATAATTGAAGCAAATAGATTCATATTAATATCATTCCCATGAAAAGTGGTCAGTCGATGAAATTATCTATGACTTGTCGGTATATAATCTTGGTAAACACTTGTGATGATTTGGCTTTGAGATAATTCCTTCGGCTTCGTATATCAATCACCCTGATAGCCGTTATTAGATAAATTTCAACGGTGTATGAATTCAGAAGGCAACACGATGTGCCGATCACAGTTTATTGTGTAGTAAGTGCAGAGCACAAAGCCACAAAAGCACACCAATCGAATTTGAGAAGGAAAGCTAATATGCGCGAGTAAGAGAATACAGAAGCGAATTCCGAGTCGAATATATATATATATATATATATATATATATATATATATATATATATATATATATATATATATATATATATATATATACCATTTAAGCTAGAGAGAGGTTTATCTGCGTAGCTGTCACATATGATCAAGCATACATGTTCATACGGACGTGATAGTAGTAATAATAATAATATCACAAAGACACAGACCAATTGTTACTGTTCGAATAACACTCTGTTAAATAAGTAAATTGAAGGGCTTGACAAAATTAACCGTAAACAAACTTGATTATAGAAGAGTTGCTATACCCTTTTTATTGAATGTCTTGAAAATAAAGGTAACAAAATGATATTTCTCAAGTTAAATAATCATTGAAATAGACTTCTGCTAAAGGTGTTTTCGAAACATTGTTCATATGGATTGCAAAGATCATGCAAGTAATGTCTAAGTTATACGCTAGTTACTATGTAAAGATAGCGAATCGATTGATGACATTGTCAATTGTGATCGACTGATATTTTCCGGTGTTATGTCTGAGTCAAATGATGAATACCAAAGATTCGTTAACTGGAAAACACCATGACAACCCTAGTCGAAAATACACTCATTTATAAATTGATTGTACATCCATTTTGATTATTAATTAGAATAGAATCACATATTTGAAAAATGCTCAGAGTTACAACAAATCACATGATACATGACATACTGAGCATAGTTCACGTTAATTATAATACAAGAATATCATGTTTTGAATAATCATCATATTGAATTAAAATAAAAATAGGCCAAAAATCACCTTTGAATATTTGGTAACATAGTAAATCAATATCGACTGATGTGGTTTGGACATGCATTATGTTTGCCCAATCACCAACAATCTCAACATGTGAAGTTTTATAGTGTAGTTAGGTTGTCAGGATACTGCTACTGTAGTGAACAAGAACACTAGTGGGGAACAATCAGATGTATTTGACACTAAATTACAGGATTTGTTAGTAAAATCTAACAATCGTATAATAAATGCTTAACTTGCAAAATGTCCATCAGTTGTCTCAAAATGACTCAGACTTCATTGTTCGTGCATTTTCATACAAATCGCATTCTGTTCCCATTCTTTACCGTTTGATCCTCTTGTCTGTATGCTGCCAGACATTCTGTTCACGACTAACGTTACATACTACTCATGTCAATATAAGTAGCACACATCACACTACTGCTACTACTACTACTGTTAAATGTAATCTACGGTTAAGATTTCACTGACAGTTGTTTGGTGAAATATTTCAATTGCTGCCCTAAGTATGGTTTAAGGATCGATCGTGTACCGACCAAATCGTAACACTATGGCTCATTGTGGAACAATGGTGAATGGAATTCACCACTCTCTATCAATTTCATTGACTACAAGAAACATTTGATAGTGCGGACAGGACAACTCTACTGAAGCTCCTTCGACAATACGGCGTGCCTGAGAAGATAGTCAATATCATACGGAATTCTTATGATGGATTGAACTGCGAAATCGTGCATGGCGGACAGCTGACAAACTCGTTCGAAGTAAAGACCAGTATCAGGCTAGGTTGCTTACTATCACCTTTTCTATTTCTCCTGGTGGTCGACTGGGCTGTTAAGACGTCAACATCTGGGGGGAAGCATGGGATACAGTAGACAGCTAGGATGCAGCTAGACAATCTGGACTTCGTAGATTATCTGGCTCACCTATCGCACAAACAACAACAAATTCAGGAGAAGACGATAGGTGTAGTAGCAGCCTCAGCTGACCTGAATGCGGATAGGATACACATTGAGGAAAGCACTAAACCGCGTCACACAGCAAGCCCTCACTTGGAATCCTCAAGGCCAAAGGAGGAGAGAAAGATCAAAGAACACATTACACCGAGAAATAGAAACAGGCATGAGAAGAATAAATAAGAATTGGATAGAACTAGAAAGGAAGGCCCAGAACAGAGTGGGTTGAAAAGTGGTTGTCGGCGGCCTATACTCTACTGGGGGTAACAGGTGTGAGTAAGTATAGTTTAATTGAAACTACAGTTTAACAAGACGAGCAGTTTTAACCAGTGGAGTTGAACCGTGTCTGATGTGAGGCAGCTACCCATTGAAAACTTTGGAAGACGGTCGTGTAATATGTCTTACTGACATAAGTTAGAACTTAACAGTCAATCAGCCACAACATAGGACCAGGCACATATATGCATCGCTTCAAGTTGTCATACCTCATCAACACAAGAAGATGGACACCGGATTCGTAAAAGTAGTTAATTCAGAGGTGGTAATATATAAAAGAAAGATTGCAATAAGAACATAGTACAGGAAGAAAGAATTAGTTCGTAGAAAGAAAGATATGAAGCGATTTTAATCTCTTAGTTTAAGGGAAGACAGGGAGTGTATACACCGACGCCATTGTGATCGATTCTGAGCCATGTCACCAACGGTCTCCAAACATTGGTTGCGATAGTCACGCGGACCCCAACCAAGTAGTCTCCATCTACCAACATGAGACAGACTAGAAGTTAGTGACTTCAAGCACTGATGCCACGTTTTGGTTTGGCCACCCCTAACTTTCTTCCAATCCTCCCGAACACCGGTTAGCATTGCACGTCGCGGTAATCGGTGTTCGGGCATACGTAATACGTGGCCCAACCATCTCAGTCGATGAAGATTCATAACCTCATCACTGATTTACCATTATTCCCTAATACCCTGCGTCTAACCTCACTATTACTTACCCGGTGATCCCAACAGATGCCAGCAATATTTCTAAGGCATCTGTGGTCAAATACTAGTAGCTTACGAGCGTCTTCTACTCTTAAGGGCCATGTTTCGCTGCCGTAAATTAAAACAGAACGAACAGCCGCGCAGTATACTCGTCCTTTTATTGATAGACGGATATCTCGCCTCCGCCAAAGGTGACGTAAGTTGGCAAAAGCCAAACGAGCTTTACGAATCCGTGCTGCAATTTCGTCAGTCATAGTTGGAGAGGGTTGGTAGAAGATTGTCGCTCATTCTGGAGTACCTGCTTGGACTCCGACCATGCCCTAATACGGGCACGCATCTGCTTGCGCCTCACTGGACGCAAAAAAGCCACATTAAAAAGACCCGTTAGAACTGAGTTGAGTAACGAGAAAACCAAAAGTAGGTTCCAGGAACAACTGAGGTCACACTTAGGTAGTTGTGAAGACGAGGCTGACCCAGATGTTGCTTGGAAGGGCATACAATCAGCTGTGGAAACAGCAGTGACATCTATTAGTGACTTAAACCACAGAGTTACAAGGAACCAGTGGATTTCTTCAAGGTCTGTCACACTGATGGATTCTCGCAAACTCGTCCCATCAGGTTCTGAACATGATGAAGAGCGTAAACAAATCAGATCTAGGTTAAGAAAAAGTCTAAGGAACGACCGTGAGCAGTGGTGGGTAACGAAAGCAAAAGAGATGGAAAAGGCGGCGACTATAGGGAACACAAGACAGCTTTACAGACTAATAAAAGAAACTGGAATTAATAAGTCAAGTGTAAGTGAGATTATTTCGGAAAAAGATGATACTCTCATCTGCTCCCAGTCCAGACGTTTAGAACGATGGGCGGAACATTTTAGAGAACAGTTCAGCTGGCCTCCTGCTCAACTAAAAAAAAAATCCATTCCCAGACAAAGTGAATGGAACATTGAAGTAGGTCCCCCAACTCTTGCTGAAGTTGAAAAGGCTATAGTTAATCTGAAACGAGGAAGGGCAGCTGGTCCAGATGGATTGGCTCCAGAGGTCTTTAAGGATGGTGGTCCAATTTTAGCGATTAGGTTGACTAATATTTTAGCTAAGATCTGGGAATTAGACGTTATCCCATCTGACTGGTCGCAATCACTTATCGTCCCAATATATAAGAAAGGGTCAAAATCATCCTGTGACAACCACAGAGGGATTAGTTTAACAAACATAGTATCTAAAATACTGGCCTCGATAATTATCAAACGCCTAACTAAGACTCGTGAACTACAAACACGAGAGAACCAAGCTGGCTTTAGACCTGGTCGTGGCTGCATCGACCACATATTCACCATTCGTCAGGTTCTAGAACACAGGCATACCTATCGGCGTCCGACGATGGTGGTCTTTCTTGACTTAAAAGCAGCATTTGACTCTGTAGACCGCGAGACTCTGTGGCAGTGTCTGTCATTGAAAGGCGTACCTCAGAAGTACATAAACCTTGTGAAGGCTCTTTACTCGAACACTACTAGTCGAGTCAGGGCTTATGGCGAACTGTCATCTACTTTTGCAACCTCAAGTGGTGTCCGTCAAGGCTGCCCACTTTCTCCATTTTTGTTTAACTTCATCATAGACCTATTGATGGAAATAACACTCTCGTCGACTGAATTCTCGGGTATTGATCTCCTTCCAGGAGGTCCACTTATCGACTTAGAATATGCAGATGACATAGTCCTGTTTGGTGAAGACGCTGACAAAATGCAGAGTCTTCTGGTAGCACTAAGCAACAATGCCAGAATGTTTGGGATGCGCTTCTCTCCCTCTAAATGCAAGTTGTTGCTTCAGGACTGGTCTGCGTCAACACCTGAACTAAGGATAGGGAGTGAAGTAGTCGAACGAGTTGACAACTTCACTTATCTTGGAAGTCTGATCAGCCCTAATGGGTCCATCGTTGGTTTGGTGCAGGGGGTCGCCATGTTAGACGATGTTTCTCCTTATGCTTAAAATTTGTGTTTGGTAAAAATAAACGATTGTCTGAGCATAGCTGCAGCAGACAATCACCATTATGTGTTCGCTGTGTCGGAATACTAAAATATCCACCTAAATGCCTTTCTGTTTGGTTTAAACTGCCTATCTGAGCATTAAAATCACCTGCTACGAGTACTATGTCTGAACGTTTAGCTTTCTGAAGAAGTTCGGACAGCTTTCTGTAAAATTCATCTTTCACTTCATCTGAGCTGCAGTCAGTGGGAGCGTAGGCAGAAACGACGAAAAGGCAACGACGTGTGTCCCTATCCTTCCGAGTTCTTACGTAGCCGTTCAGCCGAACAGCACATGGACGACTGTTGACGGGGATCCACTCTAGCAGTGCTTGTTCCGCCCTCATGCTTAGTGCTATGCCTACACCTGCCAGTCCACGAGAACTGGCCATCGGGTCGTCAGACACACGAAGTGTGTATCTCGTTGGCTCTCCGTTTTGCGGAGGTGAGGTCAAGTGATTGACCACACTGGAATCCTGTATGCGTGTTTCGGAGACATAGCATACATCAATGGAAAGAGACTCTAGGGTTTTAGCCAAGGAAGCCTGCTGACCGATTTGACATAGGGTGCGTACGTTGAAGGCTCCAATGTGTAGTTTGGAGCGAGGTTTCAGTAGACCTGGGACAGTGTTTTGCGCACTAGAATCGTTGGCTACGGTGACACTTGAGGTGGAAGCCGAGAGAGGAAATATAGAGTTGAAAGTCGATGTAGGAGAAATAATAGGAATTGGAGAGGGAGGTTGATTATGAATACAGTGGTCTTGAGTGCTGTTAGAAGTATGAGGGTGGTTATCACTTCCCGGTTACCCACACCGTGGAAGGGTTGTTCTGGAGGTACCTGAAAAGGAAATCGGATTAGATGTGGTCTTAGTGACCTGGAAGCGTGACCGCAGTGCCCAAGGGACAACTGCTTGAGGTCGGTCACACACGACCTTTTTATGAGTAATTTTTGTGTTAGCTCCGTACTTATTAAGACCTTACCGCCGGAGACGGATATCCGTGGGATAAGGCGAGGTGTGCATTTTTAGGGTCGACCTTTTCTAACCCTACCCCTCCTTGTGAGATGGCAGCATCGCTGTCATGCTGGTTGTCTGAAGGAAACACCTTACTGCTGTCACACCTCTGTACAGCCAGCAGTAGGACTTCGCCTTCGGACCTTGGGTTTGTTGCTTTTAGTCTTACCGCTCTTCAACCGACCTGTCTGACATGGTAGGACCTTGAGGAACGGTTGTTCCAGCCAGTATAGCTCGGTTGCTTCATCACGATAGGCAAGCCCGACCACCACGTCAAGGTAGCAACAACGGTCGGTTAGTTGTAGAGTAGCTGAAGGCCAGCTGAACTGTTCTCTGAAATGTTCCGCCCATCGTTCTAAACGTCTGGACTGAGAGCAGATGAGGGTGTCGTCTTTTTCCGAAATAGTCTGACTTACACTTGACTTATTAATTCCAGTTTCTTTTATTAGTCTGTAGAGCTGTCTTGTGTTCCCTATAGCCGCCGCCTTTTCCAGCTCTTTTGCTATCGTTGCCCACCACTGCTAACGGTCGTTCCTTAGACTTTTGCCTAACCTCAGATGAAGTGAAAGGTGGATTTTACAGAAAGCTATGTGAACTTCTTCAGAAAGCTAAACGTTCAGACATAGTACTCGTAGCAGGTGATTTTAATGCTCAGATAGGTAGTTTAAACCAAACAGAAAGGCATTTAGGTGGGTATTTTAGTATTCCGGCACAACGAACAGATAATAGTGATCGTCTGCTGCAACTGTGCTCAGACAATCGTTTATTTTAGCAAACACAAATTTTAAGCACAAGGAGAGACATCGTCTAACATGGCGACCCCCTGCACCAAACCAACGATGGACTCAAATAGACCATATTGCCATCAGTCATCGTCGAAGAGGGTTGGTAGAAGATTGTCGTTCATTCTGGAGTACCTGCTTGGACTCCGACCACGCCCGAATACGGGCACACATCTGCTTGCGCTTCACTGTTCACAAAAGAGCCACAGTAGAAAGACCCATTAGAACTGAATTGAGTAGCCAGAAAACCAAAAGTAGGTTCCAGGAACAACTGAGGTCACAATTAGGTAGTTCTGAAAGCGAGGTTGACCCAAATGTTGCTTGGAAAGTTATGCAAACTGCTGTGGAAACAGCAGTGACATCTATTAGTGATTTAAACCACAGGGTTTCCTCAAGGTCTATTGCACTGATGGATTCTCGTAAACTCATCCCATCAGGCTCTGAGCACGATGTAGAGCGAAAACAAATCAAATCTAGGTTAGGCATAAGTCTAAGTTAGAACTTAACATTATTTGATGGCGACTCAGTGGTTTAATAGGTTAAAAGTTTGCGTGTGACCGAAGGTCCTAGTTTGGATTCTCGCGTGTGGAGTCGTGGATCGTACCTTTCAGTGCTTGGATGTTTCTACTGATAGTCTAACACTGATTGGTTCATGGTCTCAAAGATGAGAGTAGTGGTTATTAAACTATGCGAAATAAAAGTAACAAATTGGTAATTTGTATTTGTAAAAACTACCTTTGTCTGGAAAAATGTTTCCGTGTCTTCATAAGTTGTTTGAATCACAATCTCTTTTAGTGCCTGAGTTTTTTCAAATAATTTAAACTGCATACCGACAGATTTTTTCCCACTATAAGGATAACTATCTTTGTATGAATTGGAACAATCTTTAACACCTTTCAATGGTATTTCATCAGATTTTAGTGATGAGTTTATTTCATTATTCGTCGACTTTAAAGGACACTGATTCATCGGTGTCTTTATATTAGGGAAAATTGTTTCTTGTAATATAGAATCTGTATTGTTTTTATTTCTGCTTGCAAAAATGTCCCCCATTTTTAAATTACAATCTTGGATTTTATTCCTTACAGAAATTTGTGGTGGCGATGGACAGCTGATAGAAACACAGTTAGATACTGACACGAACGATAGTGGAATATCTTGTGGATAATGCTCTTTAGGAGAATGGTAATATTGCGTATGGATTATTTCACATGGTACAGCTTTAACATGAGAAATTCTCTCTGAAATTGAATCATTTAAATTTTCAGAATCATAATTTTTACAGTTCATTGTTCTATTATTATATAAATACAACTTGACTTCTGTTAAATAACGTTGTTGCCCATTGGTTATTCTATGAATATGATCTAAATTTGTAGGATTTCTGCTTTCATTAATTTGTGATTCATATCCAGATTGTATATTCAGTTTATTGTGTATATCAACAACAGATACTGAGGGATCTAGTTGTGATTGAAGAGATGAATCTAACTTATGTGTTGTAAGTATAGTGCTATTGGAATTCAATGTATTATATCTTGGAACATTATTCGTTTGTATGGTTGATGAATTGAATTTACTATGGTTAACCTGTTCAAAATCTAAAACTAATAATACACTTTGTGTGGAATGTTTATTCTTTTGAATAAGAATTTTTAATGGTTGAATAATGAAAAATTCATTTGTTTTTGAGGAGACACTCTGAATATCATTTTGAGTTTTGTTGCTTTGGAAATAGATAGGAGATGAATCACTTTCTTTGTAGTGAAACATATCAACAACAGAATCTTTTTATTATTATTATTATCTATTCTTCTATGCTAATTTTGAAGGCTCCATTGAGAAATTGTCATCCGTTTAAAAGGTTCTTGAAACTAAGTCACTGAATACATTCCTATTGAATAACAGAATAGACATTGTTCAATAATAAATTAAATAAATGACCTTAAGCAAAATCAATCAAAATGAATATCGATCAATATGATCAATATAATCGTGTATACACGTTGTATATACTTCGGCAATTGTTGATTAATAATTTTTTTTGGATAAGAAACGCGCATCCTGGATTCCACTGCCATTCATTATCCATCTTTGCTTATAATAGAATTGCTTGTATTATATATTTCCTATAGCTTAAATTAGAACTAAGTAGGAAATAGTATCAATGAAAAAATATGATTCACCATCCTGGTTTTTGTGTATTCGTGAATTCAGTCATCTAGATTATTCTTATGTTGAATACTTAAAATAACTTGGTTGTTGAAACAATGTCATATAACACAGGATAATAAGAGTTTAGTATGTTTGTACATGAATGTGTTCCCCGTATGAATCAAAGAAACAACTTCAAAAGAATTGCTTTATTTAACAAGTTCTGTGATTGAGTTTTCTACAAAGTCAGTAGTTGACATTACTACTTAACTTTAAGTTGGATAGAGTAGTTTCTTTTATTCTTAAAATAGTAAAAGATTAGATAAATTCTAAACGAATTACTATGTTACAGATGTAAGCAAACGTATAGGCTTATTTATCAAGCTTCTGTTGATCCCGAACGCTGAATTTAAGGGCGTTATTTATTCAAAAGTTTGAACAAATGATAAATGAAATTACATTGAAGTAAGCAAAAAAGAAAGAAATTAATGAAAGGCTTGAAATGGGTGGAGATTGAAGCTAATAATTTCATGCACATGGAAACTTGGTTTCTTTTTTTCCAAAAATAATTGTTATTAACCTATTGATATGAAGTTAACAGAGGTGAGAATGTTGTTTCCACAATAAAAAAAACATAAAATATTGGGTGTTAATGCTTCTTCATTTTGTTAACTATATTTGTCTTTAAATAAAAATAAGAAACTAGATATTTAAAAATAAAGTGATTGCTTGGTGAAAATCTAAAGATCAATCTGTAATAAAGTTGTAACTGGCTAATACTGTTCAGTATTAAACTAGAACGTAATGGCTGTTTGTTATTTTGGTGGAGTTTTGTTCTCTGAGCTGGATGGTTTGGTCGTGGAGCTTTCATCGTCCTTCTGAACGACATCATCAGAACAAACTTCAAATTTTGTACGCAGTTGATTTTGTGAACTCTTGGGTTGTTGCTATTGTAGTTGAGAATGTGATTTGTATGGGTCGGTTTCCTATATACTTGAGTTTCCAGTTTTCCTGTGTCGGTTCTAGTGATCAATATATCCAAGAATGCTAGTTTGTTGTTTGACTCCTGTTCCATGGTGAACTTGATGTCACCGAAGACGTTGTTGATCAGTTTATAAGTGTTTTCCAGATCATTCTTTTTGACGATGACGAAGGTGTCGTCTACATAACGGATCCAAATTTTTGGTTTGATCACTGGTAATATAGTGGCTTCTAGTCTTTGCATCATTGCCTCTGCGATCAATCCTGATATTGGTGATCCCATTGGTGTCCCTTTCGTTTGTTTGTTATATGCCGGCAAGAATTATGAATGGTAACTTTTGAGAACTATTCATGGACAAATACGATAAATATATATTGTTCAGTAACTAGATAATGTATATCTATATTTCTCTTATTATAAGTTTATTTTGACCCATAAACTATTATTATACGATTTACCATTCTTGAATTATGCCCAGTCTATTAATTACAGTCTTCCACATTCACAGTCACTTTGGGCTAGATCTTGTACAAATGTACAAATATAAACCCAGTATGTTTGAAATACATGATTCATATCGCGGAGGCTGAGATTGGTGTTCTGGACTCAACAGGCAGGGCTAGGCAGGAAGAAGGACCGATAAGGACACTAGAGTTGTCGTACAGGTTTACACGTCATTGGTTTGGTTGATAAATCACTGTTCTCTAATTGGCGGCATCATTACGTCATATACTGATAAGGGCACAGGGCACAAGATATGACACTGATAATTTCGTAATTAAAGTTACCTTCTCATTTTTCTACAAAATTCTTAATTGGTATTTATTTTCAATTGGTATTCTTTTATTTTCTGAGACAGTTGAAGAGTCGATTTATTGAATGTGAACAAAGAGAAATGTAATTTGATCTCGCTTGTAGTTAGTGGTGCAAGAAGTTGTAGATGCTTCTTCACTAAGCTTTCTGTGTCGTATTTTCTTCCCAAATAAGCATAATAAAGGGGTGCCTGTTATCCTTTCAAAGCAGATACGTTGTAGGGAAAATAGCTGCTGAACAACTGTACGATATGGTTACACTTACATATACGATCGAAATCAATAAATGAATCAATCATACATCTAAAGATAGTTTTCGTGAAGCACCATGGTAGGTATACAGTTGAAATAGTTGTATACAATGAACAGTATAATTAGTTCAAGGGCCGTTTACAGTCAAAAAGGAACGAATCAGATGAACAGTATTAAATTTTATGACCGTCTAAATTGTTTTCTAGTGGTTACGAACATCAAGTATAAGATACAAGATTTCAAATAGCGAGTAAATAATTTGGTTATGTCATTTTAATGGTTGATTGATACATCAACCGGAAACTTGAATCTTTTACGCCTTAACTTTATCTCTTTTCAGCATAAATGTTTTACAGAATAATCGTGATAAGGTGGATACATTTGAACTTGAGATATAATAAATACCTCAGTATTTTTGAGATCATGGTTCAACAGGCAGGTCTCGTCATCCATTCTTCTGGATTTCGAAAGACATCAAACACCAAACCACGAGAGTCGATCGTTTTAAGATTCTAAAGAAAAAGAGAACTATCCTTCAGTTTTTGTATGTCTGATTCACGAATGTTGAATTCATTTTACTGATTACTCTAATAGCTTGTGAGTATAAATACTAATCTTCTTCTAACTTTGTCTAGACAGTTAGGTTCCCTCATACTCCACATATTATTTTTATACATTACTGTATCTGGAAGTAACCTCGTGTAAATTGAACAGTTCTGTTTGTAAAATATCGAAAAACCTTTTTCAGTATAGTGTTCAACGATGTATATTGTCAGGATACACCTATATGTAGTATGTCGGTGACTAGTTTCAGGTGAGTAGGCAACTAATATCCTTAAATGCAGGAATCAAGAAACATTCATAAACGATTTCGGTTAAATTTCAAATCATTTTTATTTTCTTTATGCAATGTTTTTATTTCTTCCAGTCAGTCAACCAAATCCATGATTCAAACAGCTTTAAATGAATTTCCACGTATGGGTAACTTGTTACGCAGATGTATAGATCAGCTGATAACAAACGATGGACAGTAAGTGTAATGCTCGTTCGAAGGACTGATTAAGAAAAAAGTTAATTTGTTCTTAATTTTTAAAGAAATTCCGTTATCTTCTATATTTCACCTAATTTGAGATTCAACGACCAATCATTGTCAAACGGTGTTTTCTTCAATTGTAACATTGATTTATCAGTACTAATACACATTATCAATTGATTAATATTCACGGATATTCTGTGCTTGTGAACATCCTATTTGTTCTCGACTATACTGCTGTTTGTTTATCATGTTTCAATCAAACTTGTTTCAAGACGTTCTGGATACATCGATCTGGAACGTTTATGTGTAAACAGTATATTAAGTAGTACCTCTCAATACTCACATTCATATAGTACTAATAAGTACTATTTTGTTTATGATTATTTCTTACGTATTCGAAACTTTGTCTTTTGATAGTTTCTATGCGTGTTATACTCACTTGTTTGATTCTTTTTGGTTCGTCACCGGTAAAATGAATCAAAGTATCATACGATGAACTACGAATTGCAGCGCAGCCTCTGTCAAAGGTTTTCGTGCGTTATGGTCACTTCGCTGAGCGTTCAAATGCTTTGACGAAGAAATGTTTCGAATTTTATATCCCACCTACCTAAGACCACATTTAGAGTACTGTATCCAAGCAGCCAGCCCATGTCTGGTAAAGGATACTAACTCACTTGAGCGTGTCCAGCGTGTGGGGACGAAATTAGTGAAGGGTCTTTCTAAACTCCCTTACGATGAGCGTTTAAAACGCCTAAACCTTTTCCCCTTGTCGTATCGTAGGACACGAGGTGACCTTATACTGGCATTTCGTATCTTTAATTATGATTTGGGTATTAATATGTCCTTTCTTTTTGCTCCCTCCAGCACTAATAATCTCTGAGGTCATAGCAAGAAGGTTCATAAACCGCGACCTGATAAACTTAAAGTGGGGTCCCGTTTTTCTCATCTAGTAGTCAATGGTTGGAACGCCTAACCCGAACAAGTGGTATCAGCCTCATCAGTGAATATTTTCAAAGAGAAACTGGACCTTCACTGGAAGGCAGTCTGTCAGGATTAACACAAGTTCACCAACCTACTATCCTTATTACTGAAAACTGAAGACTGAACGTTTCAATCAAACTTGTTTCAAGACGTTCTGGATATATCGATCTGGAACGTTTACGTGTAAACAGTATATTAAGTAGTACCTCTCAATACTCACATTCATATAGTACTAATAAGTACTATTTTGTTTATGATTATTTCTTACGTATTCGAAACTTTGTCTTTTGATAGTTTCTATGCGTGTTATACTCACTTGTTTGATTCTTTTTGGTTCGTCACCGGTAAAATGAATCAAAGTATCATACGATGAACTACGAATTGCAGCGCAGCCTCTGTCAAAGGTTTTCGTGCGTTATGGTCACTTCGCTGAGCGTTCAAATGCTTTGACGAAGAAATGTTTCGAATTTTATATCCCACCTACCTAAGACCACATTTAGAGTACTGTATCCAAGCAGCCAGCCCATGTCTGGTAAAGGATACTAACTCACTTGAG